GCGCAATTTGTTCTAAAAATAGAAAAATTGTCCCATATCATAGGTGCGCGCGAATCCCGAGACTTACGGTCTCCGTCCCCGATTATGGCTCCTGATTTGATATATCACATTGGTTAGGTCAGATCAAGTTCTTTTTATGCAACAGTGCTGTCCCTACTCAGTTTGGAGTTTTGTTTATTTGTTTGGTTACATGACCTAGCGTGAGGTCAGGATGGCTGGATATTGGCCAAGTTCTTTTTTTGCGTGTTTATGGACCGAGACGGAATTGAGGCCCATAAACACGCAAAAAAGAACTCGATCAATGTCCAGCCATCTTGACCGAACAAGCTTGGTAACTAAAGCATTTATTTTATGGCTTTCGGGAAAATTTTTCTTGCGGGACACAGCGGGTAATCCCGAGCAGGCAAAATAGCGCCGTCATCTTGTATTTCTTCAACATTTTTTTTTTGTGTGCCAATCACGTTACGAAATGGCGCGGCGGTTATGCTAGTTCTCATGCTGGCAGAAGCAGAATTCCTGTAATTTGAATAGTACGACAGGAAGTTGGGCCACTGTAAACGTTTATGCGCTGCGGATCTCAGCATGTTGTGTGTTTATGGCCCTCTTGAAGTATACGAACGAGCAACAATAGGAGTTGAGACACATTTATTAATATGGCACTTTACGATACTTAACTTCTTATTCTATTTCATATTCTTCTAGTGGTAATCCACTGACTGCACCCCTCCTCACCAATTCAAAAAGTTGTGAAGATACTGTGGTTTGCGCAGTCTTGTAGCCGGGTAGATTTAACAAATTGACGTCAGTTTTTCATGCGTCTGTCCTGTTATTGACAGTGAATTTCGTCATAACATTGTCAAAGTAGCTGTGGATCCATGAGGTGGGGGGACGGCGGAAAAATGTCTGACAAGACTCTAGAAAGCGTCTTAGCACTTCTATCGCTCAATATACAGTACACACTCTATAGCATCGACGTAGATTGAAGCTGCCGGTAAACTTACAGAGGAGTTCTTCCTCCGTTCACTCATATATATTTGCTCATGCTATTTCGATTTTTTTTTTTTTGCCAAAATGCCAGCTTGCTCACGTACGTATATATTTATGTGTTTCTCACTGCACTTCAACCGCAAGCTATAGGCTTATTGTTTTAGTTCAAGCCGAATATTTCTCCGGTGTGCGAGTGCCAGAGATAGGGACAAAGCGAAATGATTGGCCTTTGTTGATGATGTTTTTCTTTTCATTTTAGCTGGAACTTCGACAGAAACAGTTTCATCTCCTAATCAGCACAATTCATGAATTACAACGAATGCTAGAGGGTAAGTACTGTTGTTTTAGATATAACATGCCGATATGACCGGCAGTTGAATCACAGATCAGCCAGTCAGCTCCTACAAGCATTAGCCTTTAATTCTTAAGCCTGAATGCCCGAATTCAACTAAAATTCATATATTTTGACCTGTTTGTGTCTCGCCAGCACAGTGTAGCTACAATGGGCGACAGAAGTGCTGAGTTACTTCACTCTAAAATAATGTTTTCGAGCGTCTTGGAAAAAGTTTTCTCCCATTTGTTGGAAGAGGCTGCAAATTGTTAACTTTGATTTTGACGCCTGTTAGATACTCGGGAACACTTCAGTCAATAGTTTTGTTCATTTAACAACCCGTATAACACGACCGTGCTGTTTTAATACAGCTCACTAGATTTTAATGGCCCGTCGGCCGTTTCGGCCCAGTCTCCAGCGGTAGGTTTTTGAATGCGCGCGCCATTCTGTAAGAACATGAGCGAGTTGTTGGTCGAATTAACATGTACAGGGTTCCACTGCATTTCTCTTGTGTGGTTACGGGAGTGTTTTAAAGGGTAAGGCCAATCAACAGTAGAATACTAACTGTCTTTTGAGGCTGATAAATATTTTTAGTCTTAACCAAGAGACCATGAGCTCATTTTCTCTTGTCTTAACTGTTTGGTCTTTCGATTGGACAAAAAGTATGATATTTTTAATTTAATGATTGATCTATGGAAATGCGAAAATCTTCAGCTTTTAGCGTCTCAGAGTAAGAAGGCTTGTTACAGGGTTTGGATGGGGTTTTAACTAATACCCGAGAATTTGGTTAAAATTTTAAACTATAAGCTGCCGACCATGAGTTAAAAAATGTGTCAAAATTTACTGATAACTTTGAAATGGGCTGCAACTTTATCTGATAGTTGAGAAATCGCAGAAAATTGAACTGACAATTGAGATTCCAGCTTCAATCCAGATCCTCTTGCTGTAAGCTCAAATTAACAGGCAACAAACTCGCTTGTTTCAGGGGCAGGTTTCTACTCCAGAGCCAACGAACCTGGATAGCCTTGTGTTGTTTTATCTGATGCAACAAAACTGACGGTTTTTGCTTTTCTTTTATCTTTAACAGAAGACAAGACAGACTCAGATGAACCGTCCTCTAGCGCAGAAGGTTCTGCTATGGACACAAGCTAGTTTTTTTCTTGTTTCATATTGCTTTTTGTACATAATGTTTGATTAATAAATAAAGAACTGTTCATATCAGTGTTCACGCCTTTTGTGATTTTACGAGATACGACGTTGCGTGACCATCCCTATTTCTTCTTAGCCACTTGTCACGTGCTATCTAAAGTGGCGTGACTTTGGTCAGGTGATAGTTAATAAAAGAAACTTTAATTTCGGGCGCTTTTTGGAAGGAGAGCTGCGGTGTGTACGAAAGAAGATCAGAGACTTGCATCTTTATTGTAGAATTAGCCTGAGATACCTCTGTGACAAACTGAAATTGTTTTTTTTTTTTTTAATATTTTTTGTCTAAGGACTTTGCCGCTTTTTGTCAACTTCAAGATTTTACTTCCTTCTTTTTGATGGTCCGTTCTTGTCTAAAGCTAACCAGCTTTGATTTGTTTACATAAACACATCGATTGAGGCGTTATTTCGCGGGCTTTCAAATGGTCCTTTCTTAGGTATAAGGGTGCATTATTCGAGGGCACCACAAGCGATGGCTAGCCCCCAGGGCAAAAATTGCAGGCGAGTACCTCTACTTGACCACGAGATACACGGGGCTTTAGCTCCCCGCAGCCCAGCACGTATGCCAAACATCGCCCGTACCATTCAGACTGCAGTTGTAGTCGAGCATCTCCCTATAGGTTCATGAATTTGCAACGCTTGTGGGAAGACAAAATTGCACGCATGCGCACAGAGTCAAGTAGCCTGCTACGCGGATGGTCTTTGGGTTCATGCTAATTTCTCCAGTAAAACTCTAATTTTCAGGGAAACTTTAATTTCGTTTGATGGTATTATATCCACTGGATATACAGGGTTACCCGGGGGAATTTATTTTGTTTTGTAAGACGGAGACTCGGGTTTATGTGTGAGTAATGGTAGGGGCGGGCCGGGTTTTTCTGGGTGAAAGATATTCATTTCTGGCGATAGGGGCTCGATTTATTTTTGTCTCTGGAAAGTTGGATTTAACTTAGGTATTTAGATCTGAGGAGTGAGCTTTCAGGTTAAAGTGTTTCAGATATTTTTTAAAAAATGCATCTCAGGATCAACATAGCTCGAAGCCCTTGTTTCAAAAGTGATGAGCTTGATATTCTTTCAATAGTTTTTCTTTCCTCTGTTTACAAACACATTTTTCACCTACAGGCATTTCTGTTTTCTCCTTTTACTACTTAGCTTCTTTGTGCCTCGTGGCACATAAGGCCTCCACAGAATGCCTCCAATTTTCTCTGTTGATCTTCATAGAACACTTTTACCATCCTTACTATCTTGTTCGGGATTCCATATTTCCGCATAATTAACCATATTCTCATTTTATTTTCGAACTTTTCCAAATACCAAAACTTTTAATTAAACTAAAGAAAATGTATTTAGTGCGTGCAATAGTTTTCTTTTCCGCGTTTCATGATTGGCTGACTAGAAAGTGTGCCTACAAATTCCACGCTTATTCTTTCCAGTGTGTTTGTCAGTGATTGGTTTGAGTTTCTAATCCATATTCATTCCAAATTGTAGAATCTTCGTCAAATCATGTCGTCCGTTGATGTGTGAAGACGTGTCGTCCTTGTGAAGGCGAGTTGGAACTCTAGAGGCAAGAAGATGCTTGAAGAAGAAGAGATGGAAGCTTGGAAAAATTCTTTTAGCTTGTCTAACTGAAGGTAAGCATTGCTTATGGAGAATATTACTTTTATTTTGCCCAGAAAGTCTAAAAGACTGGCATTATGTCGCTAAAGCGTCAACACGTGCGCTAACTGTTCGCTTCACCTTTGTTTCAAGTCGAAATTCGACTGAAGAGCGGTTCGTTTTGTTTCGTTCACGGTATTTCAACCTCTCTAAACAACATTTGAGAGACGTTACTAAATTCAGAATTTGAAAGTTCCTTGGAAAACTTTTAAAAGACTTTCGAAGAGGAAAGTATTTGGTTACAAGTTGAAATAAAGGCGACCGGGCGCGCTAAATTTTCAGTTCTGAATGTGGAGAGGCCTTTTCATGGTAATACAATTACAAACAGAAAAGTTTATCATTCCTTACTGAGAAACTATTTTGGAATCCTGTCAACTTCACCTTCTAAACGTATCTGGCCTCAGGGGCGTTTATTTGCTAGTTTAACTTTTACCATGGCGAGTTGAGATCGTATTTAAGAGTGTTTAATCATTTAATTGTAAATTTTTGAGCACTTGCTGATGATAGACCTGATAATTTATTTTTCAGAAAAACTGGAGGAAAGGATATGGACAAGACGAACCGGAATAACTGAATTGGAAGGAAATACTGCAAAGATAAGAATTTTAAAATGTCAAATAATTTAAGTGAAATGGTGGCTGATTAGTTGTTTAAGTTTGTAAGGGAAGTGAACTCATCAGCTGTATTACTGATTGTCTTGCTGCAAGTCCAGAAAGATGACATCACAAGGAAACAAGAACGACGTATTTCAAAACTGAGTTGAGTTGTGTTAGACATCAGCCATCATTTACAACTTCAGTCGATGTAACAGAGGTGGGGTATTTTTAAGGTGGCACTGCATGTTAGGCGAACGAGAATTTGAAGAAAACCTAGAGAGAAACAAATCAACTACTTAAAATACAATAATTGTCTACTGATTAAATACAAAATTGAAATTGAATCAAGTATAGCTGAGTTTCCAATTGTTGAATATCTTTTCTAAAAATAAAACTAAACTCGGCTAGAATGTTAACAGGAATTTAGCAACGTGGAGCCAAGCAATTAAATTGTGATATTCTGCGGCTAAAACAACGGCTGAGTTTGCTCCAGAAAAGTTTGAAACCTTGACTCTTACTTAAGTTGAACAATTTAAAAATCGGATTTTCCTTCGTTGTCTCGTTCGATTTTGGCGCTCGACGAATGCGGAGCGAAGCAATTAAATTGTTATACTCTGTAACGTTTTCAATTAAACAATTGTGCTCGTTCAGTCGTAGATGATTTTCACTTTTGTCAAGCAGAATACATATTGTCATTACTTTGGAAGCCGGAGACAAATAAAAACAATATTTACGTTTTTTACAACTTTGACGGAGTAAATCATTACAAATCAGTTTTCAAAACGACGCAGTAACTGTCTGAAATTTACGAGCATTTAGTTTGTGAAAACTAAAACCTTGATCGTGCCACCTCGAAAATATCCATCTGTTTGTTTCATCAACCGAAACAAGAGAATAAAAGCTTTTCAAATGTAAAGCTAAGCAAATTTATCAAGCCAATCATTATGCATGAATTGTTAAAATATCGTGATGTCGCTTTAAACTTTGGAAATGTTTGCACATTCATTTCTTTTATTTTTCACCAATTGGCTAATGTTGTCTTAAAAAGCGTACGGAAAACGCATAAGCAAATGTTCTCTTGTCATTTTGTAAGCTAAGTATACAATACAAAACACTTATGTCTGGTTCATGGGATGTTACGATGTAGTTTCGATTCAGAATTAGCTTTTATACAGACCACAAAATCAAACGTTTTTTGAAATCACGTTTTTTTCTCGCTCACTTGTAAAAGTATTAATGAGAATCTAATGAATCGGTAATGATAAAATCCGACGACGTTTTTCTTCGCTGCTATTATCTTGCTCATCCAAATCTTGTATAAATATTGATTTTTTATTAATTCGTTTTTTTAATTTTTGTTTTTAATTCGCAAATGTTGAATCTACTAGGAGAAAGACATGGGATGAGACATCGCTTAATTTTTTTGGTTAAACTTATGGAAGTTTTGTTTAGTTTTCGTATTTTTTTCTCCAGTTATCTTGCTTGCATATCTTTCTTAAAGACTGAAGGAAGAACTTGTAGCCAAGCAATTAAATTGTTGTATTCTGTGGCTAAAACAACGGTCGAAAATGCTCCAGAAAATGCAAAACTCGAAGCAAAGAATTATTATTTTTGTC